AGTTAGTAACACGATTGTTAAATGAATATAGCTTCCCTATTGACTTTCTTGTCAGAAGGTTGCAAAGGGTGATCACATGACCTGGGACACTGCAACTCTCATAAATATATGCCAGTGCCAAGCATCCGAATTTTGATCATGTGACCATGGGGATGCTGCAACAGTCGTGTAAAAAATGGTCATAAGTCACTTTTTTCAGTGCCTAAGTTGAGGACTACCTGTCTTAACTATTTGCTACAAGTAAAAAGCTGATATTATAACTGTATTTGGTATCTTACTGCAACGAAAGAAGTTGGAAGCTATTGCTTTTGGGTTTTTTTTCTTATTTTCTTCCATGTCACCCATTCTGTCCCCTTTCCTTTCCCTTTTTTCCATTATCTTTATTTTTGTTTGTATTGTATAGTAAGAAAAAAACTTTTTAATAAATATGTAAAGAAAAGATTACATATATCTTATTTTCATGCACATAAAAGTTCTAGACATTGGGTATACATTTCTTAAGCATTTGTCTTGTGACAAATGTGATTAAAAATAATGTAATTGCAAGGTTGATTAGTTTGAACAGCCTTCCCAAATGTATTCAAGGAATTTTTAAAAATATTTTTATTTTATTCAAAACATTAAAATACAAACTCCAAAAAAAGAAAACAAATACAAAAACAAAGCAAAGCTAAACAAGACTACATTAAAAAGTGCATAAAACAACAAACATATACATAAATTGTTCCCCCTAGTTCAGAGGTAGGCAACCTTGGCTTTTTTATGACTCTGGGAGTTGAAGTCCACGAGTCATAAAAGAGCCAAAGTTGCCTACCCCTGCCCTAGTTGAATACTGATAAATATATCAGTATACAGAAACATTCTCAATCCACACAAATTTATGTTCCCCCTCCCCTTAGTTATAGCAGTGTTCCGAAGGGACCTGACATACTGCTCTTAGAAGGGAAGATCCACCTGGAGAAGAGAAAAATAACAAAGAGGGGAAAAGAAATAGTGGCTAGGTGCTTTTTTAGGTTTATCAGGGTAATGGTCACGAAAGCATTTAATTACTCTAGGGGCTTTTACATGATTCTTTTGCATCCACTCAGGCTGAACCCCAGGGAGATCTTTCCACATTACTAGGTACTGGGTGAGTCCCCAATTTGTGTGTGAGTCTAGGATTTTCTTAATCTTGAAATGCTGTTCTACCTCCACCATAATAGGCTCCAGGACTGGAGGGGGGTGCCAGCCTTAAGGGCGAGACCACTTCTAGTTTAAGGAGACTGCACTGGAACACTGGGTGGACTTTTCTCAGTGATTTTGGTAATTCTAATTCCACCGTGACTCTCAGCTCGGAGTTCTCACAACACCTTCCCACCTCTGGATTGGCTCTCTATGGACTGGGCAGTTGGGAGGGGTTTGACCAATGGGATTTAACCTAACATTTTTTGTGCAGGAAATTTAGATCCTGCCTGCTTTCTCTGCAATCACTATCTCTCAATAAAAGATCCTTTGAAATGCTGTCTGCTTCAAGAGTTCGACTTTCTTTTTTTTATTTATAAATGTTATTAGTTTTTAAAACATAAATCACATAATAGTTAACAGTGTGTTTGCTTAGTTTACATGTTCCACTTTCTTGAGGGAATAGCTGAGGCAAGACCTTACAGTAGCATTCCAAAGGGACCTGAAAAATCTATTATATTTCACTTGCCCAAAGTCCACAACAGCTTCTGGTTTATCATAAGTCACAACAATCATTGTCTTTGGCCATCCAGGATCAGATATCTTTGATTGATTCTTACCATATTTCCCTGAAAGGGCTATCCCGAAAATAAGCCCTAGCTTGATTTTTGGGAGTGGTCCTAATATAAGCCCTACCCCAAAAATAAGCCCTATTTTTGCCATGAGGCACACACTTAAAAATCAAACTAGAGCAGGGGTAGGGGTTTGGAGCTGCCCCACACCCAGTATCTTGCAGCCAGGCCTCTACTTGCCGGCCCACTTCTTCTGCGGTGTCTTCTGCATTTCTCAGTCATAGGCCTTTCCAGAAGGCCTGTGCAGCCCAGAACTGAGCTATGGATTCAATCCATAGCTCAGTTCTGCAAGATCTCTGCAGCCGACGACTGAGCTATGGATTGAATTCATAGCTCAATACTTGACTGCATAGGCCTTCCGGAAAGACCTGACTGCAAAATGCAGTCTGGAATGCAGCTGCAGAATGAAGCTTCTACTTTGGCCCAAGAAGAAGTGGACCTGCTGGGTGGGGCTGTCGGTGCCAGAGGTGAATAAGACATCCCCTGAAAATAACTTTTTTTGCCTCCTTTTGGAGGCAAAAAAACAAACAAACAAACCTGGTCTTGTTTTCGGGGAAACACGGTAAATAGTAAGGTTTTTCTTTAAAATATTAAACGAGATCTTTTTTAGCAATTGGATTTTATTCCCCCATAACACAAGTCTTTGTTTTGTGTATTTCCACAGCATTTGTTGTACAAAAAAGTCTCCTATAAATTGTAAGATAACATCTCTTAACATTTGTTTTCTGATTGGATATAATAAAACCACCCAGTCTTCTTAGAAAAGTTGAGTTTATCACTAGTCAGTTCTATCAACTTTGAGTCTGTACAGTCCATGCCTTTCTCGGAATCCTCTAACCAGCTTGTATTTTCCCAGTCACCTGCATTTTCAGGGCTGCCGGCAGCAAGTTACATTCTTAGCCGCCTGGTTGTAAATCCTCTTGTAGTGCTTTACTGGTATCTGATTACCAGATTTTAAAATAAGATTGTTAACAAAGAGTTTATCAAGTTTTTTTTATCCAAATATTCAAGCTGAACTTGTAAGTTGGAAAATATTTTTTTTGCCCAGCTTTCCTAGTAAATGTTGTCTTGATACATTGCTTGCATTTTGACTATATTTTGATATAGTCCAAAATACTTCAGTAGTAAAACTTTTACAGGTGGAATGTTTATAGCCAACCATAAATAGCTCCTCTCAAAGACAGGAAAAGCACTGTAACAATTAAGCCCCCAAAACAATGAAAAGAGTTTTTAGCAAAAAAAGGAGAGGTTTTTATCAGAAATTAATAAAAATTAAGACCAGAATTTTCTTAATAAATTTATAAAATATAAAATCCCTATATGATATTAATATTTATTATATTTATAGAATACAATATCCCTGTAAGTATGATATTGTAAGTACGATATCAAAAGTGCGATATTGATGTAAATCAAAACAGATCACTAAGTTGTTTTATCTATGAGTGTGAGATATTCTTTTATAGTTTGTCTGTAAAAATGGTTATAAAATTGGCATGTTAGCAATGGATCATTAAAACATTAGGAAGAAATTAAAATTCAGTTCATGGCTATTACTCCCACAGTAGTGGACACAATAACAATCTTTGTGTATAGATCTCCTCATATGAAATATGCTGTTAAATATATACTGCTCAAAAAAATAAAGGGAACACAAATGTATAGGATCCTATACGTTTGTGTTCCTTTTATTTTTTTGAGCAGTATATTTTCAGTTAATTAACAAGGGATCACTATTTTCTTTTTTTAGTAGAAGAGGTTGACAGGTTTTAGCTGGTCTCTGTGGTTAACTATAGATATTTACAGTTAAAGAATGCATGCATACAGGCAGTCCTTGAGTCAAAATCACAATTGGGACCAGAAATTCTGATGCTGAGCAAGGTGGTTGTTAGTGAGTTGTGCCCAATTATACAACCTTTGTTATCACAGCTGTTAAACAAATCACTGCAATTGTCAAGTGAATCACACATTGGTCATTAAACGAATTTGACTTCACCATTGACTTTGCTTGTTGGAAACTATCTGGGAAGATCACAAATGTTGATTATGTGACTCCAAATGCTGTAACCTTTGTAAATATATGCTGGTTGCCAATTGCCCAAATTTTGATCACATGACTGGAGATGCTATATCAGTTGTAAATATGAAGACCAGTCATATGTCACTTTTCCAGTGATGTTGTAACTTTGAATGGTCACTAAACAAATGTTTGTAAATGGAGGACCTTCTTATTATGAGACCAAGCGTATGGCTCATCCCAGCTGAGATGAGAGCCTATCTGTTTGCTGTAGAAGCAAGTTGACATGAACTCAGACAACAGCATATTAAACTTAAGCACAGGTATGCCCATGATTTTTGCCAGGACAAAATTTTCTGAGAAACCCGGGAAAGAAGGATATTCCACAATATACTAGAACCACTTTGGTTTATTGATTCACCTGATGCCAAAATCCTAGCACAGCCCATGCCCACCCTGGATCCCTAAAGGCAAAAAACATCGTGATATGTCACAATATGTAAATGTGACGCAATCGAGTTTGATATCCGTGAGATGTGGCAATAAATAAATAAATAATTCTTGGTTCTTGAGAGAGAAGATTGATCATGTTGTATTAAAAAGTTTATTATATTTTAACAATAAGGAAAATGTCTTTTCTAGGAAATCAATTCATTCATCTGTAGTAATTTCTTCTGAAAAGTGATGCAGAGATTTTCATGAGGGATTGCTTTTGTGTTTTCAGTATTCATTTGTAATATGTAATTTTTTTAAAGCTTGTATGCAGAGCTGCATTATGGATTTTTGTTTGATATTGTAAACTTTCTTAGTGTTTTCTATTTTAGATAGCGCTCTCTCCAAAAGTTACAATAGTTAGGGTGACAATAGATTCCTTTATTTGCACTTTTATTAAAGATGACAGTTTATCATATAGTGAGTAAGGTATGAAGCAATAGTAGATATGGCTTTTTCCGGAATCAGGCAGGTGTAGCTATTCTGGTATTGAGGCTGAAGTGATTCACAGAGGCACTTATGAAACTGGGAGTGGTTTTTTTATGTTCAGGAAGAAACGGGGGGTCATAATTATTTTATTCTGTAGAGACCTGTATATAGCCCACAGCAGCTGCATGCTGCTTTGTGTAAAAACTTAAACAAAGTTTTCTTGGGTAGAACTTTGCTGTTAACGATCTGTTTTCTTTGCTTTCTTTCAGTCTCATCAGAATTCAAAATGCAACAGCTGGTTTCTTGTCTGGGTGTATGGTTTTTCCTACAGCTTCCCAACCTTGGTTCTGGAACACGTGTAGTCTACAAAGTACAGGAAGAGCAGCCACCCAATACACTCATTGGAAGTCTGGCAGCAGACTATGGCTTCCCAGATGTAGGACATCTGTATAAATTAGAAGTGGGTGCCCCCTATCTGCGTGTTGATGGCAAGACTGGTGATATCTACACCACAGAAACTTCCATTGATCGGGAAAGCCTGAGAGAGTGCCAGCACTTGTTCCCAGGAGATCCTTGTTTTCTGGAGTTTGAGGTTTCTATCACAGACCTGATGAACAATAGCCCTCGCCTACTAGAGGGGCAGATTGAAGTGATGGACATCAATGACAATACACCCAACTTTGCATCTCCTGTCATCACACTAGCCATTCCTGAAAATACCAACATTGGTGCACTTTTCCCTATTCCATTGGCTATGGATCGTGATGCTGGTGCCAATGGTGTTGCTTCCTATGAGCTCATGCCTGGTTCAGATGCCCAAAAACTTTTTGGCTTGCAAGTAGCAGAGGATCAAGATGAGAAACAGCCACAACTAATTGTAATGGGAAACCTAGACCGAGAGCAGTCAGAGTCCTATGACTTAACTATCCGGGTTCAAGATGGGGGTAGCCCACCTCGTGCTAGCAGCGCTTTGTTGCGAATCACCATTCTGGACATGAATGACAATGCACCGAAGTTTGAGAAACCATTGTATGAGGCTGAACTTTCAGAAAATAGTCCTATTGGTCACTCTGTACTGCAGGTGAGCCCTTTTTCAATAGAAGAGTCTAAACATACATAATTCTGGATTTAGAGTTTGAGTACCTATTAATTTCAAAATATGAAAAGGATGATGTATTTAGGTATTTTACATGTGTTACTTATTACTTTCCTAATATTTTAGAGACAAGATGTATTGGATGTTTGGATTAGTCAAAAGCTTTTGCAAACAATACTGGAGGATTGGAGCTGGAAAAATGAGTTAATTTCTGCAGTCAAATTCACTGGAATTAATGGGGAGAGAAAAGCATATATTTTTCTTTTCTCAGCTTCTGATCATATAGTTTACTGTTCCAATATCACTTACAGCTACTAGTGCCATCAACAATAGCACTAGATTCCACCTGGTTACATCAGAAGGCAGGGCAGTAAGATTCTATCCTTCAGCATGACTGAGATCAACAGCTATTGTTTTCCTGCTAACCAATTCCATTAAATATGGTTTTGTCTTTTGCATTATTTTTATCATGCTATAAATGTAAATATGGGTAAATATTTTTCCTCTGAGACTTATATATTCAGGAATAATAAATATTTTTGGCCAGATAAGAAATGGTCTTAGCTGACATTGGAATTAAGGAGAAACTTCCTAATAGTGAAGACAACAGGTGGAACAGCTTGCCATCAGAAGTTGTGGGTGCTTCATCACTGGAGGTTTTTAAGAAGAGATTGGACAGTCAGTTGTCTGAAATGGTATAGGGTCTCCTGCTTGAGCAGGGGGCTGGACTAGAAGACCTCCAAGGTCCTTTTCACCTCTATTCTGATTGACATTTGGCTAAATCAAAGCCACCTTTTCCTGTCTTAAATCATCACCCCAACCAGTGCTGCTTTTGTAAAAACAAAAGGTGCCGGAACTCACACATGTCATACAACCCGCCTTGCCTACCCTACAAAGTTCCATCCAAAAAAGGTGGTGGAACTCCGTTCTGGGCATTCTATGACAAAAAAAGCCCTGACCACAACTACTCCTTTCTTAGTGATTTTGAGGCATAGACATTATGTGGGGATAACTTTAACTCATCTTACTCACCTTATCCATATTCAAATCCATGAACTGAGCCCTCCATTCATACACTTAAATCTTTACACGTTTAAGAGAATAAAAGGGTAGTCCAATCCTCTGCTCAAGCAAAAGACCCTATACCATTTCAGACAAATGGCTGTCCAATCTCTTCTTAAAAACCTCCAGTGATTAAGTAGTCACAGCTTCTGGAGGCAAGCCATTCCATTGAAAAATTGTTCTCATCGACAAGAAAGTTTTCCTTATTTCCAGGTATAATCTCTCTTTGATTAGTTTCCATCCATTTCTTCTTGTCCTGCCTTCAGGTGCTTTGGAGAATTGATTGACCCCCTTGTCTTTGTGGCAACCCCTTAGATATGGTCATGTCACCTCTAGTTCTTGTTTTCATTAGACTAGATATAACCAGTTCTTGCAATAGTTCTTCATATGTTTTAACTTCTAGTCCCCTAATCATCTTTGTTGCTCTTTTCTGCACTTTCCATAGTCTCATCATCTTTTTTATATTATGGCGACAAAAAGTGGATGCAATATTTCACATGTGGTCTTACTAAGTCATTATAAATCAGTACTAACACTCATGTGATCTTCATTCTATCCCTCTGCTAATGCAGCCTATGACAGAATTGGCTTTTTTGGCAGCTGCAGCACACTGCTGGCTCTAAGTGGTTGTCCACCAGAATTTCCATGTTTCTTTCACAGTTACTGCTGTTGAGCCAGGTACTACCTACTTTGTACCTGTGCATTTGGGCTTTTTTTACTTAAATGTAAAACCACCTTTCTTTTCTCACCACTGAATTGCATTTTGTTGGATAGGATTCAGTGTTCAAGTCTGTTGAGATCTTTCTGGATCTTGAGCATATCTGGAGTGTTGCTATTCCCGCCAGTTTGGTGTAGCATTTTCCTGCTTTCTTATTTCTCCAAGTATAAATAACAAAACATAGGAAGGCATTTTTATCTAGCTTGATACAAAACTCTTTTGAAAGGCTTATTATCATTTAGGGATTGATTGTAACAATAGGGAAGGTTTAAATTTTTCTACATTAGTCTGAAGTTCTAAGAAGACTAAGAGGATACAAAGGGAACTCCTCAAATTTGCAGATGACAAACTAGGGGGAATTGCTAACACTTTGATAGATAGACTCAAGATTCAGAACATTGGGCCCTATTCAACAAAATGCAATTCAGTGGTGAGAAAAGTAAGGTCATGCATCAAAAGAGGGATAATGTCAAGACTATGAGAAGTGATAGTACTGCTTTACAATATGCTGGTGAGATCACATTTTGAATAATGTGTTCAGTTCTGGTCACCACAATACAAAAAAAGATTGAGATCTTTGAAAGAGCAACAAATATAATAAAAGGTCTGAAGTCTATTCATCCTATGATGAATGATTAAGAACAGATTATTATTTATCTCTGAGCATTCTGCCAGTTTCTGAGTCCTTATTGTTAGTGTCCTATGTTCTGATTCTCCACTAGATGTCAGCAGTTATTTCTTTTTTCAGTTTTTTTTTTCAATCAAAAAGTTATTTTTTGTTACGTGTTTTTTATAATTCCATCAAAACACTTTAGGGCAGTGGTTCTCAGCCTGTGGGTCGGGACCCCATTTGGGGTCGAACGGCCATTTCACGGAGGTCGCTAAACAACGCAGTCCGCCATTTTTTCCCCCTTTTCCTTAGCTGTGCTACTCCTTTTTATTCTATTGGCTTTTGAAAACCAATAGAATTAGACTCTCTTGAATAGAGTCTAATTCTATTGGCTTTCAAAAGCCAATAGGAATTGTCCAGGCTGTCTCTGCCCTGCTGAGCCCGCCAAAAGTCCCATTCTGCAAATGGTACTGCACCAGTTGAGTAGTCCTCGACTTATGACCGGTTGGGGGTCGCGGCATTAAAAAGGTTGAGAACCACTGCTTTAGGGTATACTCTTGACAGTTCTTTAGTTCCTAAATTTATCCAGTCTGTAGTATTTTAAATTGAATTTTAGTATATCTCTTTCCTCCTTAATATTAATTTGCAGCTTCCGTCTATAAGGGAATGGGGATATAGTTCCCTCCCTTCCCTTCCGGAAGTTTTCTTGCTTTGGAGATCTTTTTCAAGGATTCAATTAGTAGATAGAAGAAAGAAGATCAATATTCTCACCAATTCCAAGCATGCTGTTCACCGATGTTTGGGTTTGTGCTCTTGGACTTCGGCTGCAAGTAGCTTGGGCTAGACGCTGATCTTACATTAGCCTTTCTACTGTCCATACAGCTTCAGATTGTCCTTGTAACAGAGATGGGATAGTTTGGCAGATGTTTTTGATGTTCGATAGCCATGGGCTGAGTTATTCATTGTTATTGACAGAGTAGTGCAGTGACAAATAATATTGTGGTAGTAAATCTTGAAATATTCCTCTCTTAATATTAGTCTCTCACCATTGTCCTGGAAAGGTGTCTTCCATTGTGCCATTGATCTTTGCACAAAGCTTCTGATGTTTCTACTGACTCCTCTTGTTTCTAGACACTTGATTATCCAGTCATATGGCAGAGTGTCCAATGCTTTTTTGTAGTCAATCCATGCTACATTTAAATTGGTCTTCCTTCTCCTGCAGTTTTCCAAAGTCATCTTGTCTTTGATCAAGTTGATCTTTTGTTCCTCTGCTGTTTGGGTGGTTTCCTTTCTGCTCAGGTGGAAAAAGCTTGTTTTCAACTAAATGCTGTTGGACTGCATCAGCTACCACACCAATTAGCAATTTGAAAGTTGTTGGTAAGCCAGTAGTTGGCCTGTAGTTTCCTAGTGCTGCCGTTTTTGCTGGATCTTTCATTGACAAGTAGGTTTTGCCAGATGTTAACTATTCTTCAATTTTACTTTCTTGCAGTATGCTGTTAAACTGCTTGGCAACTAGTGGGTATAGACCAGTCAGATGTTTCAATCAAAAACCATGCAATTCATCTTCACCTGGTACTCACCAGTTCTTCCTCTTTTCTCTATCATTTCTGCTGATACTACTAGTTCTTCTCCAGCATGATGAATGTAGAATCCACAGGTGGGTAATCTCAGCCTTCCTGCTCAGATGAGACTAAGTCAGAACTTTAGCCATGCCTTCCTCTGGGTGTGTCTTCCCAGTTATTCACTTAGTCTCGGCTCAGTAGGACGCAATTTTCTTGGCTCCTCAGTTAGACTAGGTTAATTAATTAGATTGATTCATTAATTGAATTTATTTACATTCAAAAGTCTCTAAATTATTGTGAATTATTCTTTATTGAAATTTGGATTCAGATTGACAAATTTATTGAAATATTGCTCAGACCTTTTAGGCTTCAACGAGTCTAACAGACTCCTGTGGAGCAGACTACAGGCCGATCTGAAGCGGGGCTTTTAGCTCCGATCCAGCTGATCAGTGGGAGCGCGGATCAGCAGAATAGCAGGCTTGCGGTGACTAGGAGTTCCTCGGAGCTCGGGCAGACCAGAGGGCTTCCCTTTCGGATCGTTGTTGATGCCACGAGGTTCCTTTTGAAGCAGGCGGACTTTCGGATCGCAGTGGAGGCTGTGCGACTTAACAGAAAGTGTTTTTTTGACGAACGGGGAAAAGAGGGCTTTAACTATATTGGGAGATCCCTTAAAGCTTTTTCCTTCCAGGGGGCCTAGTAGCCTTCTCTTCGCAGTTTTTGGCGCGGACGCCATTTTTAGGACAGACTACACAGGTGGGGACTCCATTTTGAACAAGTGTTTAGGTGCGGATGCCATTTTGAATGCATTTTTAAACGCAGACGCCATTTTGTAGGGACCTCGTGTTCCTCAGAGCACAATTGGGCCTGCTTCATTTGCCACCTTAGCCTGCTGTGTCAGGCCTCTAACGGGGGGAAGTATTTTAACGCTATTCCAGGACAATTCTGTGCATTATCAAGACCAGTCACATGGTCGATCGCCATATTGCATTTGCATTATTTGGTCTAACTAATCATTGAAGCTCAGGTTACATTC